AAACTAAATTTGCTGTGTAAACTTTTAATGAAAACACAGTAAAATATTGTTTTAAAAAAACAAAACAAAATACTGGTGAGCTCTGGTGGCCTAGTGGCAAGAAGCTGCACTGCAGTCCCAGAGGTGAGCAATTTGAATCCACCAGGTGCTCTGCTGGAGAAGGAGGGACAGTCTCCTCCTGTACCAGTCAGATCCGATTTGACAGTACACACACAAAAGATAATAAAAAAAAAAACCCACAAAGCAAAATAGCATGGGAGTGGAATTCTTCCTATGCTTTGGTGTTACTGTGTTTTCTGTACTGAATGAGAAGCAGTAAATTCACCTACTGTTTGTTTTAAAGAAGCCCACTGACACAAGTTGCAGTCTGGGCCTCTTACAGGTTTAGGGGCAGTGGGGAGCATTTTGGAAGCCCTTGGCCCTAGCTGCCTTTTCTGTGATTTCAGATGATGAGAGCGACTCGGATGCGGAAGAAGAGCAGACCACGGTGAGAACCAGTTCCTGTTGTGGGGACACCAGGCAGCCGCACTGGCGTCTCCTTGTTGAGGGGGATGCCATTCTCCCTAAGCAACCAAAAGAGGAGGTCTGGAAGGAAGGACTTGGGGAGTTGGCAGCCTGAAGAGCTGAAGCAGCAGGTCCCGGGCAGTAGTGTTGAGGTCTTGGGGGGCAGGGATGTGAAGTGGGGGGAAGGCAGGAGCGGGGAATATGTCTTTGACCAGTGCTTACTGCCTCGGGCCTTTCCCTTTGTCCAGAAACGCCGGCGACCCACGCTGGGAGTTCAGCTGGATGACAAACGCAAGGAGATGCTGAAGAGTCACCCTCTGTCGGTCATGCTGGATCTCAAGTGCAGAGGTCTGTCGGGAGATCAGTCTTGTTCTGAGGGTTCCTAGCAGCACTAAGTGTGGTCAGAGGGTCAGGCCAGCCAGACAGGTCTCTGCCCAAGAAAGACTTTCTGTTTCAAATTTCTCCATTTTTCATTTCTTTGTTTTGCACAGAATTTTCTTTCTCTTTAAATTGTTGTGGTATCAGTATAGCAACAGAACTCCAGACCTTTTTGGAAAGCTTAGTAAAATTACACCTTTTTAAAAATTTTGACAAACCAGGTCCCCAGCATCTCCACCAAAAAAAAAAAATCAGGTACACAGAAAAAGAAGAGCATGCAGGTTCTGACCAGTACAACAAGGTGCTTGGTTTAATAAATATGAACAGGCTGTGACATTTTGGGGAGAACATACGTGTGCATTTAAACTGGTTTTGTCCAGGCAAAAGAAGACGTGATGAAACATCTCAGCAACGTAAGAGTCAAGTGCGACATTTACATTTCTTTACCCTCATACTCTGACTTTTCAGCCTTATCCCCAGAAACAACCACTGCTAAAAGTTTATTTTTTCTTAGAAATACATAGTACATTTAGGAGAGCTCTGGTGGCCTAGTGGCAAGAAGCTGCACTGCAGTTCCAGAGGTGCATGGTTCAAATCCACCAGATGTTCTGCCGAGGAAAGAGGGACAATTTCCTCCTGTAACAGTCAGATCTGATTTGATGGTACACACACAAAAAAATAATAAAAGATTATTATCCCCTTCCCTAATAATAGATTTATTTACTCATGGTTATTTCTGTTTTATTTTAAGTTCATAGCAAGTTGTTGTTGTTATGTGCCACCAAGTCGCCCGCCACCCACAGCGGCCCTCTTGGAGGAGCTGAACTTGTGATGACTGCTTTAATTCCCAGCTCCATGTTCATGACTTCTTTTTCATTTATTTTGGGATTTGGGCCATGGGGATGCTTCTAGCTTAAAGTCAAGCTTTCTTGGCTATATATATATATTGTTTTGCTTTGTTTTGTTTTTATGCAGATGGAAGTATAGTCTCCGCACACTGGTCCTTATTTTCTTTTACAACTTTTTCTTTTGAGATGACTTTAGATTTGTCAAGATGACGGAGGGTTTCTAGATAAATTGCACCTACCTCTCGCTTTCTCATAGTATAATGTGCATGAACCATGGTGTTACCTAAATTATGGAATTGTTTCCCATTTCCCCAGTTTGAATGTCCTTTTTCTGTTCCAGGTCCATATTACATTCAGTTGTCATACTTCTTAGCCTCCCAGAGGCAGGGACAGTTTTGTCTTTCATAACTGTGGCACTTTTGAAGGTGAAGCTTAGAATTTTGTAGAATGTCTGTCAGTGTCTGGTGTGTTTTCATGATTAGACCTGGGTTTTAGATTTGGGGGAATATTACCATAGATGTGGCTTTCACCTTCGCATCCTACCAGGCTCATGAAACCTCTGTATCATATCAGTGCAGGTTGATTTTGACCTCGATTGCTGGCTTAAGGGAGAGTCTGCTAGGTTTCTCCACTCTCAAGTTAACCACTTTCTATGTCTGTATTCTGTTAGGGAGTTTTCGGTGACTGCTCCATCCCCAAGGAAGGGAATTGTGAGTTACCTCTTAGAGGACCTGTAGAAGAGAATTGGCTTTTTTTGGCTCAGCATTTGCTCATCACTCCTGCTATTTATTGTTTGAAGCAGGGTCTTTGAGTTTCTTCCCTAGAGGATTTTTCACTCCAGTCTACGTATTTTACTTACCAGGTTCCTTTTCCTTCCCTCTTCCCCCTCCAGATGAGAGTGTGCTTCACCTGACCTTCTACTACCTCCTGAACCTCAACATCATGACCGTAAAAGCCAGAGTGACGACGGCCACGGAGCTCATCACCCCCATCAGCGCAGGGTATTGGCAGGGGCTGCGGGGATGGGGAGTGGGGGATGGTGAGAGCCTCAGCATTGAGCTGTTTGTCCTTCCTTGCTGGTTCTGAGGCCACTGCTCTGTGTGTCCACACCGCCCAGAAATCCTTGTACCTCACTGGTGTAGAAAAGCATTCCTTGAGGAACAATCTCCTCCTGTACCAGTCAGATCTGATTTGATGGTACACACAAAAAAGAAAAGCATTCCTTGACTTTTCATTTGTGAATTCCTATTACAAAATAGCAGATGATAAGGGGAACTCCGGGGTAATTGCAAATTGAATAGGCAGGGCAGCGCACCAGCTTTTTATAACCAGTGATTAAGAGTGCGAATGTTAAAAATGAGACTTGGCATATATCATCAGGTTGACAAATTTAGGCTGTTCTTCCCATTTTCTCCTCCAGCCCCAAAGTGCGAGGTTTTTACCTACTGGCACAGCTGCATTCAGGCTACCTGGGCAGTGGAAGGAAGGACCATGTTGAGTCCCCGGGGTGTGGGGTGGGTGGGTGTATTTGTGGGGGATTATGAGCAGAGACACAAAGTGACAGCCACCGGCTGAGCATCCCCAGGGGCTTCCCCTGACTACTGGAGTTTCACAGCCAGGGCAGGGGAAGGGAGGCCCTGGAGGCCTGGCTGGAACAGTGTCTGCTTGTGAGAGGCCTCCCTCCAGTACTGCCCCTGTGTGCTCCTACTGGGCCCTTGTGTCAGCTGTGGAAAGATGGAACCATTGATGCTCTGGGAGACACTCCACTGGTACTGGTATGCTGGTGCCACGGGGCTGGGCTCTTCCATGACTGCCTGATGTCCCCTACGTCTTACACCCTGCACCTGGAGCCCCCTTGTTAAACCACAGTCTCCGTTCCTGTACTTGAGCCTGTTGGTGAACCACCCAAGGATATTCTAGGTGAACTGGCCTGTTCTCTCCTGACCTCAGCTGAGGGAGAGCCGGGGCTGTCTTCTTCCACTACTCAGCCAGCACTCTTGGTCCAGGCAGCAGTTCCTGGGAGTCCCTGGCCAAGGTGGAGCTTCTTGTCATGCACGTTCTTTCTGCTCACTTCTTACATGCAGCTCCCCACAATCTGGCCTTTGTTGCATTCCTAACTCGAGCTCGTTCCTGAGTTCTGTGTGTGCCATGGTCGAGGCAGTGCCAGACTGGTTATGCTCTGGAGCCCGCAGAGCAGAGCCCTCTTCTGCCAATTGTAGCTGTGTGTGTATAACTTGAGGCAGTCTACCTGGTTCCTAAGCCTGTTTCGAGTATCTCTTCATAGGATACTTGTGAAGAGTCAGATGCTAAGCACAAAGGAAGCCATTGGTAATTGACAGGCGTGTTTATTATTGTCAAGTTATATCGTACTCACAGTAATTCCACGAAGTAAGGAAACCGGCTCAAGAGAGTTCAGGAACTGCCCCAAGGTCATAGGTAGTGATAGAGAATCATTCAGTCAGCCAGATGTTTGTGATCATTGACAGATAACTTCTTTCCAGACCCCAAAGGTCTTGAAAGTAGCGGCAGTATCAGTAACAACAGAAAACCAGTTCCTGCGAGGTCAGACATGCCCTCCACACTCCACTTCTTTTTTTTTCTGCCAGTTCTACCACTAACGGTTTGTCCCATGGTACTCGGCTACTTCTCTTCTGCATCTGATAGTTCATTTCAGTGGCCACCCTGAACTCACAGACAGTAGTCCTAATTCATCAGGTTTATTTGGGGAGTTAAAGGTTCCAGTTTAGGTACAGGGGCATTGATGATTGAGTTCTTCAATAAGGACAGCTATAGTTCTGACAGACTTCTCATGCTGACCCTCATTCTGGCAGCCTTGGTCTCTGTCCTGCTCAGCCAAGTGTTAAAAAGCTCTCTGGGCTCTGTCAGCCATGTATCTTCCCCCACTCCACCAGTAAACCTAGGCCCACGGGACTCAGCTCTAGCACATGATTCCCCCGGCAAGTGCCCACAGGCACACCCTTCACCAGCAGGAACTCCGCTTCTACCCTCCTGGGCTGTGGGCCAGGAGTTCACACCTGTGTTTCACACCTGGATCTGCTGCTCTGCCTTCTCCTGTCTCATGCTGAGCCGTGTCGTATTGTCTTTGTGGTGTTCTAGCTCTCTTTCTCTGGCATGCATAGAAACCCCAGGTCCAAAGAGCACCCTGAAACGCTGGTTTATTCTTCTTGTTGATAGTGACATCCCCATTTTCTACCTCTAGGCCAGCATACTTTAATCCTGACAGGATGTCATAACTCACCAATCCCAGTGTTAGTGCTTTACACGTCTTAACTGCATGGACCTGCTCAGAATGTGCTGTTTACATTAGTAGCAAGTGAGCCAGTCTCCTTGGATGACCACCAACCCCTCACGTTTGCAGAGTCCTAACTAGCACTGACTAAAATCAGAGAATCTCAGAAGAAGGTTTATTTGTGCTTTATGAATATGTAACGACATTTGACTGTGTGGATCATAAATGATGGGTAAGATTGAGAAGAATTGGAATCCCAGAACACTTACTTGTGCTCATACAAACTCTATACCTAGACCAAGAATCTGTAGTCAGAACAGAGCAAAGGAACACTGCACAGTTTAAAATCAGGAAGGATGTGCGTCCAGGTTGTATCCTTTCTGCAGACCTGTTCAATCTGTATGCTGAGCAATTAGTTCATAAAGGTAGACTCTATGAAGAAGAATCTGGTGTCAGCATTGAAGGAAGACTCATCAGCAACAACCTACATTATTCACATAATATGACTGTTTGCTGTAAATGAGGAGGATATGAAATGCTTGCCTTCAGTATAGATTACATCTCAATATCAAGAAAACAGAAGTCCTCACCATAGGACCAACAGGAAACATTATGATAGATGGAGAAAGATTAAAGCTGTCAATGATTTAATCTTGCTTGGATCAAAAATCAGCAAAAACAAAAAATCAAAAGGCTTATTGCACTGGGCAAGTTCGCTGTCAGAGACCTCTCTCCAAAATGAGGAAGAACAATGATGTCAGTTTGAAGACTAGAGTGCCCATGGTCTTCTCAATCACCTGCTGTGCATCAGAGAGCTGGACAGTGAATAAGGATGACAGAAAAAGACTTGATGGCTCTGAGTTGAGGTGCTAGAAAAGAGGACTCGATAGCCCATGTATTTCCAAAAGAACAAACAGATATGTCTTAGAAAAAGTACAGCCAGAGTGCTCATTGGAGGCAAAGATGGTGAAGCTTTGTCTTTCATGCTTTGGACATGTAGCTAGGCGAGGCTGTTCCCTGGAGGGGGACATCATGCTTGGAAAGATGGAGGGTCAGTGAAGGAGAGGAAGAGCCCCCCCGTCAAGATGGATTGACACAGTAACTTCAGGAAGGGGCTCAAGTGGGTCAGAGATGATGACAGCGCAGGATAGGACAGGACACACATCAGCTGTTTGTAGGGTTGCTGTGAGTCATATTTGACTCAATGATACCTAATAACAACCACCCAAGCCATGTAATGAGAGTAGGAGAGAAGCTAGAAAAGCTACATGGAAGAAGTTATTCCACCACATGACCTTATGTATAAAAGAACAAAATATTGTCTAGTCTTGTCTTCCTCACAGTTGCGAGCATATTTGAGTCTGTTCTTGGCCTAAAACATCAGACGCTCAACATAAGTAAAAGTACACTAATTCTTCAATACTATTCACTATCCCATCTACCTTGCTTGCTGAAACTGAGAAGGACCTGAAGTGTTTGCTGCAGAAGGTCAAGGACAGACCGCAATTTTCAATATGGATCGAAGCGCAACATCAAGAAAACAAAGATTCTTGCCACTGGGACATTTGACAGCCCCGTAATAGATGAAGGATTGAGACTGTTAACAGTTTTGGCTTGCGTGGTTTCACAGTCAACACTCTTGGCACCAGCAGTCAGGAAATAAAAAAGAGAAATTGTATTAGGAAAATCTGCTGTCACGGACCTCTCCAAGTGCTGAAGAGCAGTGATGTCAATCTACATACTCAGGTGCGCCTGATCCAGACCATGGTCTTCATGATTACTTGCTAAGTATCAGAGAGCAGGATAATGAATAAGGATAACAGAAGAGAACGTGACGTCTTTGGGTTACGCTGGAGAAGAGTCTGTGACTCATAGTGACCCTTTGTACAACAGCTCTGAACCCTGCCCTATCCAGAGCCTTGCTGACTCCGACACACCTAATCCCATCGCCCCAGGTACCATGTCAGTCTGTCTCATTGGGGTCGTCGTCTCCTGGGTTGTCCCTTCACCCTTCTGAGCATGATGTCCTCCTCCGAGGACCAATCCCTCCTGGCCTCATATGTGACCAAAGTATGTGAGAGCTTCAAAATCCTTGCCTCCAAGGAGAAACTTGATTTTACTCTCTCCAAGACACCTACTTGTTCTCCTTTGAATGTTTATTATTTTATTATGCACAGTTATAGATGTTATATTTTTTAAATTAATTTGTTTATGTTCTTTTATTTTTTTAGTTACTTCTTTGCACTCTTAATCATTACTGAACAATTGTTAACAGTTAGATAATTTTTACTTACCTTTCTGGCCAGTTTTCCATGGAAGGCAGGGAAGAGGACAGAGAACCGGATTGAGAAGGAGAGTAGGAAAGAGGCAGTGTCCTGGTATCAAGTCCCCTTACGGGGCCAGCATATCCCTGGGGTGCACATTAGCAGGGTAGGGCCTCCCAAGGGCTATCCTCTACTGCTGTCCTTGGAAAGGTGACAAGAACCCTCTGTTGGCACAGAGAGGAAAAAAATAGGCTTTCTCGTCTGTGATCAGCAGTCTCCTTGCATCAGAGCAGGACCATCTCTTCCCAGCTTGTCACATTTAATTACAGGCTGTGCCCTAATCATTCCACTTGGGTGGCATTGGTGTCGCTGTCTCACTCTGCTTACAGCACTGGGTCATCTCGTCTCCGGTGCATGTAATAATATCCTTTACTAAAAGTGTAGCACGATCCTTTTCTGTGATTAGCTGGAAGTTGTTCAAAGTGAATGAGACACAGCCTCAGAGAAGTGTTGTTCTCTCTGGGGTGGAAAGGAGTTTTGTCTTCTCTGAGAACTGGAATTATTTTTGTTGTTGGTATTGTTGGGTTTTGTTCTCCTTTGGCAAGATCTAGTCCCCATATAACTCTTGAAGGGATGTTTGTTTGTTTAATTTGGGAACTTTTCTAAAATCAAGTGGATAAGAATAGTGCCTTTGATCAGGCCATGCAAATCCTGATTACAGTACGTATTTAGCACAATGAACTGAGATTCACGATATTTTTCAGTGCTCTGAGTTCATCTTTTGTAAACAAGAGATAATAACATTCTCCTAGGGGGGCTCTGAAGGGTAAGGAGTTGCACTGCCAACCCAGATCTCCTAGCTGTTCTGCAGTTAAAAGGATGGGTGGTCTCTTCCCGTATAATTATAGTTTACAGCCTCTCAAAACCCACTGGAGGGTCAGCTAACTCTGTGACAATGAGTTGAGTTGTGAGAATTTAGTGACTCAAGCTTAGAAAGGTCTGGCCCTGCACACCCATGTTTATTGCTGCTTTGTTCACAATAGCAAAGAGTTGGAAACAACCCAAGTGCCCATTAACAAACAAATGAATAGAGAAGCTGTGGTATATTCCCACAATGGAATACTACGCTGCATTGAAAAATAAGGAACTTATACAGTATTATTCAAAATGGGTGACCCTGGAGGACATTATGCTGAGTGAAATATCTCAGTCACAAAAGGACAAATAATGCATGGTGCTACTGTTATAAAACAGGGCTGACCTCGGGGGTTGGGGGGAAACTAAGAAAAGGGGATAAATAATGAACACTTCATTGAAACAGATGAGGGAGAGAACTGTATTAAAGGAATATATGATTAGGTAGTATTGGCATGACAGGATACCAGACTAAGAGATGCATAGCAGAGGGGGGGGGGGGGGGTGTCTGTATAACAATGAAAGGATTTTTTCCCCTCCAAAGAATAAAGCAAACTTGGGGGGGGGCAGGGAGGAAAATGTTCAACAATGAATGAGTGGAAATCTGAGTTCTTTGTAAACTTTCAATAAAATCTCAATAAATTTTAAAAAAAGAGGAGGGAAAGAAAGGTCTGGCCCCTAAGGAGGTCTTCAGTCAATGGTGATGTTGATTATTGGGCATTACTGTCCCCCAAAGACCCACGTCCTGTCTAGGTTGTTGGCTGCCATTCTCACAGTAGACTATCCCATTTCCAGTGACTTGCTGTCACCTGACTCAGTCCTGAGCTGCTTGTATCCTGGGGACCATGGAAAGAAAACACCGAATCCAGCCAATCAATACCAATTCGATAAAGTTGGGTGAGTCCACTAGGTTTTTTCAAGTCCAGGCATGTCCTGGTCTGAGGGTCTCAGGTCAAGCCCACAGCAGTGACCTATTTAGGGCTAGTGGCTTCTCAGCAGTAAAGGAAGTGTTGGGGAAGCGGGGTACTGTATGGAGAAAAGGAACAGGTGCCCATTCCTGCTTACTGACCAAAGAGAGGACATGGAGTGGGTGCCAGGGCCAAAACTCGAGTTGGCAGGGATATAAGATAAAAATATTTCATTATAAGAAACCTTTTAAAAAAACCAAATTCATATTTTAAAACTTGATAGACTGGTATAGAGATGAGTGTCCTACTTTTCTTTTTAAGTTTGTGTGTAAGTTAAAGATGACCAGGAGAGAGGGACTTGTAGTTGCAGGAGAGATGGAATTCCTAGCCGGGAGCTGGTGGCGTGAAGAGGTGTCGATGACAGCTGGGGCTGTGAGCTCGCTGAGCCAGCCAAGTGGGCTGTTTATGGAAACGGAGGCTGAAAGCAGAGCTGTCTCCGGGGACCTCAGCAGAAGTGAGAAGTCATTTTCTCCTTTGTTCCTTTCGGCAGCATCCTGACTTTGAGAGACTATGTCCTTGACCTGGGCCACCCATATCTGTGGGTGCAGAAGCTGGGCGGCCTCCACTTTCCCAAAGAACAACCACAGGTGTGGATACTGACCTGGACTTCTTGGCTGAAGGGCTGGCCTTCCTCCCTTTCTATGGATGATGGAGAGGCCTCTGATGTTCTTTTGGGGCTCAGGACCCACAAAATGCTTTTCCTTTGGGGCATGGATCATGGGCTTAGGAGCACATGGGAATATAGGGGATCTATCTCTTAAGTCCTTTGAAGCCAACTTCTCTTAGGGACCTTTTGCCTTCTCCCTGACACTGGTAGCCCTCTAAATCCAAGTAAAATTGGATACTTTTTCTGGGCGTCTTGGCTCCAAGCTCTGCTGTGTCTTAGTCTTAGGCACAGAGACACCAAAAATGAGTAAGCAGAAATCCAGGGAACTTGGCCCCTTAGCAGAAGCCTGACTCTTCTCAGGAACTCCCCCCAGCCTCTTGGTGACACAGCAGTGAGATGTTACTCTTGAGACTCTGCCTGTCATGACAGATTAACCCTGCCTCTCTACAGACCCTGTATTCAGGGGGGCCTCAGAGAGCAGCGGACCCTTTGGGATGGGAGGGCACTCAACAGTGCACCCCACTCAATGTCATCCACAGCCCACGGTGACTGCGGACCACTCGCTGAGCGCCAGCCACATGGAGACCACCATGAAGCTGCTTAAGACCCGGGTGCAGTCTCGCCTGGCCCTCCACAAGCAATTTGCATCCCTGGGTAAGCACAAGTTGGGGTGTTGGCTTCAGAGCCAACTGGATCTTGAAAAGAATGGCTTGGTCTCCACTGGGAACTCTTGATGTCTGCCAACAGACCAGAGAGGGCCCCGATTCCTGGCTGTTAGGGAGCAGACGTGCTGAGGGAGGGTCCTAGGGAGGGCCACGGTCTTATCCAGGCTAGATTCTGATCACTCTCCCCCCCCCATTTCCTAAAGCGTACACCACTCTTCCAACCCTACCCCAAAGGACCAGAGAACAAATTTCCTCTGTAATGAGATGATGAGCTATTGACGGAGGCAGCGATCCCATGAAGGCTTCTTTGCATTTGTTCGTTTGATAAATGTTTACCAAGTGCTTCCCATACACAAGGAGTCCCTGGATTATGCAGATGTTTAAACACTGAACTACTAACCCCACAGATGTGCTGTGAAGCAACTCAGAGGCACCTCAAAAGACAAGACCTGGTAACCCACACCCCAAAAGTCGCAGTTTTGAAAGCCCAGTGGTGCATTTCCACTCTGACACATGGGGTCACTGCAAGTCAGAAGGGACTTGATGGTGGCTGGTCCATTGGTTTCTTTTTCACTGCACAGAATTTATTGCCTGGAATTAGGATCTGTGTGATCGAGGAGAGTCCCTGTTAGAACAGTCGTTGCAGTTCTAGGACCCTCTCAGAGACCCCATGTTCCACTTGGACACCAGTCTCTGCGGGGCAGCCTGGCTTATCTGAGAGCCCGTCCCTTCAGTATCTCTGAGCTTCTCTGCCCCACAATTGGACAATGAGTTGTCTTCCTGGACGGTGCTTTCTGTATTTTCTTTGTGAAACCCCAGCAGGAAAATGTTCCCCAGAGCAATTCTCCTGCCCTCCTCCCCGAGCAGAGGAACTGGCACAAAGCCCTTTAGTCATGTGCTCCATCAAGGTCAGCTGGGAAAGTGCAGCCTAATGAATAGTTACTGCTGTGGAGGCAGCATCGCTGGCTCTGGCCACAGGGGTTTTGTTTTGCTGGCCGATATCTGCATTAACCAGGAAGGCAGAAACGCAGGCCTGGAAGGCTGACCTTCACCGATGTCATGTGCCTGGGCCTGGCACCAGTCTGTCTTCAAGTCAGCGCACCTGCTGTACACCTACTGAGTGTTAGGGCTACAACTATTGTGTGTTACGTGTACACCTACTGTGTGTTAGGCATACACCTTCTGTGTGTCTGATGTCCCAGGATGGCGGGCAGACACACCTGAAATTGATGGAGTGCCCTGGGAAGATGTAAGGTACCCGCTTGTAGCACTTGCTTTCTCCCTGTGACAGGACCCTTCTTGCTCTTTTAGAACATGGCATCGTGCCCGTTACGAGTGACTGTCACAACCTCTTCCCTGCCAAGGTGGTCTCTCGCCTGGTGAAGTGGGTAACGATGACCCCTGAAGATTACATGGTAAGTGTCAGCATAAGAAGACAGTCTTGCTGATCTGGACACCACAAACCTGTGTCACCTCTCAGCCCCTGCAGGGCAGAGCATGTGCCCAGAGGAGCCAACAGTTCACTGTCTCTGTGTTGACTTTCCTAGGAGCTGCATTTCACCAGAGAGATCGTGGAGGCGGGCCTGGCAGAGGACACCAGTCTCTACTACATGGCACTCATCGAAAGGGGCACAGGTAAATGATCTGGTCATAGTGGCTCCAGGCAAAGGGAGTTGCTAAGAACAAAAACTTCCTGAGGGTCGTCCAATCCAAATGAAGCTGCCTGGGATCCTGTGGTGGGCACTTGGCAAGTAGTGATGGCTGTGATCACCACTGTTGAGTGAAGACATAGTCTGTAAGTATACTTTATCCAGTTTAATCCTCCCACTCCTAAGAGTGGTAACAACATTCCCATTTCAACAGTGGACTCAAACCCATATATGACCTCAGAGCCCAGGCTCCTAACACCAAGGTTTTACCACGCTCTAGTCAGACAACCTGTCCTCCTACCTCCCCAGTGCCAGTTACGTTTGATAGAGATGCTCTATCAGATGTAGTCACGGGGCTCCACCCCTGCACTGTTTCTGCCCTCCCCACACAGTTCCTGCCCTCCCCACACAGTTCCTGCCCTCCTCACACAGTTCCTGCCCTCCCTCCTCACACAGGTCCTGCCCTCCCTCCTCACACAGTTCCTGCCCTCCTCGCACAGTTCCTGCCCTCCCCTGCACAGTTCCTGCCCTCCTCTGCACAGTTTCTGCCCTCCTCACACAGTTTCTGCCTTCCTCACACAGTTCCTGCCCTCCTCACACAGTTCCTGCCCTCCTCACACAGTTCCTGCCCTCCCTCCTCACACAGTTCCTGCCCTCCCTCCTCACACAGTTCCTGCCCTCCCTCCTCACACAGGTCCTGCCCTCCCTCCTCACACAGCTCCTGCCCTCCCTCCTCACACAGCTCCTGCCCTCCCTCCTCACACAGCTCCTGCCCTCCCCTGCACAGTTTCTGCCTTCCTCACACAGTTGCTGTCCTCCTCACACAGTTCCTGCCCTCCTTTGCACAGTTCCTGCCCATCTGATAGGCAGCAGGAGCCCATATTCCTCCTACCTCTCCCATGTCTGACTGCCAAGCCTTCATCCTCGAGTCTCCCAGATGACTGCCATCGGCTGTCAGGCCGAGATCCACCGCAGCCTCGGCAGGGCCGACACTACCTTTGAACCTAATGCCCCGAGGCTCAGTGCTGGACCCCATAGCCAGTGATAGTGACTGGCACTTCTTAACTTTTTTTTTTTAATATTCTGATAAAAGGAACCATTTTAGCCCTCATTAAAGCCCACTAATCAGTCCACTTTATTTCCTCCGTCATGATGTTGTTTTCATGTGCCATCAAGTCGAAACCATCTCGTAACCAACCCACCAGCAGGTTTTCAGGGGCTGTAAGTCCCAAGGAAGGAGATCGTCCATCTTTCTCCCGAGAAGCAGCTACTGGATTTGAACCACATGCCTTTGAGTTGACAGCCCCTTACCACTAGGCTACCAGAGCTCCCTTCCCTTGTGACGGGTGACCATGACGGCACTGCTGTGTTCCCTTCCCAGCTTCAACCCCCTTGGGAAGCACTGTGGCCTCATCCCTAACAACAGAGAGCACTGTTCTGAAAAGGCATCAAAATATTCAGTCCAAGAAAAGTCCACACCCCACGGGCAGGAACTCAGAGCAGTCAATTCTGCTTCCTGGTTGAGGTGATGGAGCCTTGGAAAGATGACGGGTGTTTGAGAGTAATACGTAGAATGAAATTAACATGAATCTCCATGGCCTTGCATGAGAGACTTTGAAAAACAGTGACACTAAAATGAACATATAAATCTAGAAATCACTCTTCAGTCATTTTTCAAAGAATCATTTTGGAAACTTTGTGATGAAGATTAAAAAAAAAAAGGTGAAGAGAGCTAAATGCAGAAATAAATGCAAGCTGTTAGGACAGAAACAACCCAACAGTAGAGAAAAAGTTTATTTTCAACAAATGATACCAGTGATACCTTCAAGGGTGACTCACCTGAGCCTGCACTTCCCTGTCCTTTTGTTTAATTGGTGGATCAAAGCGTAGGCTTTCTTTTCACCTGACGTGAATAACTGAAGAAGAATGAGCCGGTTGAAGAGATGAATGTCATTCTATTGAAAAAGGTGAAGGCTGTCACTTGACAGCGTGGAAACATACATTATGATGATGTAGACTGATGTGATGAAATCCAGCACCGCCTGCTGCTTCATGGCTGCTTGAGCCTGGAAAGGAATCTGTCAAAGCCTCCGTTTAATACATAAACCAGATGGGTACGGTACTCATCTAGGGAGCTCTGCCGGCAGAGCCAGTTGGGAGTGGCACTGGCAACCCAAGGGTGGCACCCCTCTGCCAGTCTGTGGAAGAAAGATGAGCATTCTCCTCCCCAGAAATTTGTTGTTGTTGTTATGTGCTGTCAAGTCACCTGCAACCCATAGTGACCCTGTGCACAGCAGCTCTGAAGCCTTCCCTGAGCCAGTCTCACGGACTCCGACCCACCTGCCCTCATTGCCCCAGTCACTCTATCAATCCGTCTCATCCACGGTCTTCCTCTTCTACCCTGTCCCTCCACCCTTCCGAGCATAATGTCCAATGACCGGTCCCTCCTGGCCATGTGCCCAAAGTATGTGAGATGGAACGTCAAAACCCTAGCCTCCAAGGAGAAACTTGGTTTCACCCTCTGAAAACCTCCCAAAGGGTCAGCTAGGAGTCAGTTCCAACTTGATAGCCTTGAATTTGAGTTGCGTATTTTTTTAAAATTCTGATATTTTTGTTAGGATAAGATAAAAAGGGCATGAATGACTCATTTGCAGTAAATCCTCAATAAATATTGACTGTTGAAGACGTTTACAAAGCATAATACATACTCAGAATGGGGGAGGGACAGCTCAAGAGAAGAAGACCCCAGATGAGATGGATTGATAACAGTAACTGGGGTAATCGGGATGGGTGTGTCAGAGGCAATGAGATTGGCACAGGATAGAGCAGAGTTCAGAGCCGCTATACATAGGGGTCACTATGGGTTACAGAGGACTCAACAGTACATAACAATATATAAAAATAGAACAGAAAAAAATAGAAGGAACAGAACAGGATGAGTTCATTTGACTGATGTAATAGTCAGTGCACAACATTGTTAAGAAAAGCCAGATATTTAAACCTTCACGTGGAAAAGTCCTTAATTTTTTTTTATATATTTTAAACAGGATAGAGCACAGTTTAGGGCTGTTGTACATAGGGTCGCTATGAGTCGCAAACGACTTGACGGCACATAACAACATTTAAAACTCAAGAGCAACGGTGTCTCTCTGGAGTCTAAGGTGCGCCTGATCCAGGCCATGGTTTTTGCGATCACTTGTTATGCATCAGAGAGTTGGACAGTGACTAGGGAGGATAGAAGGAGAATTGATGCCTTTGAGCTGTGGTGCTGGAGAAGAGTATTGAATGTACCATGGACTGCCAAGAAAACAAACAGATTCCTCCTGGAGAGGGTTAAACCAGGCTGCTCCTTGGAGGCAAGGATTCTGGGGCTTCGTCTGACATACTTTGGACATGTTGTAAGGAGAGACAGGTCTTTAGAGAGGGCCATCATGCTGGGTAGAGTAGAGGGACAGCGCAGGAGGTGAAGACCCTCTATGAGGTGGATTGATTCAGTGACTGGGGTAATCGGGATGGGTGTGTCAGAGGCAATGAGATTGGCACAGGATAGAGCACGGTTTAGGGCTGTTATACATAGGGTCGCTGTGAGTCACAAACGACTCAACGGCACATAACATTTAAAACCAATCTCTGTCAAAGTCTAAATAGGAATCTTGGATACACCAGTGAGAACCAGACCTGGGGAGACTGTCACCGCTTCAGTCCTGGAGGGACCAGAGTCCAAACACCAAATGGTGGCCATTCCTTGTTAGGAGTTCTAGAACAAAAGTACATGGCAGTCGGTAACAGGATGGGCTTTGCAACGCTCAGGTTAATGCAAAGCATTTGAAGGAGCTTGGATTGCCTGGTGGTTAAGGAGTCAGGCTATAAACCCAAAGGCATGAAGTTCAAACCCACCAGCCACTCCATGGGAGATTGATAGGCAGTCTCCTCCCATGCCATTTACTGCCTTTGAAAATGCACTGGATGGTCAGCTATGAGTTGATTCTGACTCCATGGCTCATAACAATACCACCATAGCCAGAGTCCAGGGGTGAGGAGCTCCTGGCCCATAAGCCAGGCCTCAGAACTGAATTTCCTCTGCTTCTCTCCCTCCCCAGCCAAGCTCCAGGCCGCTGTGGTGCTGAATCCCGGCTATTCCTCTATCCCACCCATTTTCCAGCTCTGTCTGAACTGGAAGGGGGAGAAGACCAACAGCAACGATGACAACATTCGGGTAAGTCCCAGCTGGGGGTGGCAGGAAGCGCATGAGGGTGTCCTTAGGCCAGGGACAGTGGCAGGACCTGCCACAGCTGAAGGGTTGGGTGCTGGTTTAATTCCCAGCGTGGAAGGTCATGTGGGATTTGTAGAACTTGACAGAGCATGTAAGGTATCATAGTAGAAAGGATCTAGACCCATCTCACCCACTTAGTACTGGGGGATCCACAGGTTTCCTTATTTCTGAAGCAGGCATCAAAGAGTATTATTGTCCTGAACTTATGTGAAACTGTGAATAAACACCAGCTTTACAGAAGCACTGGAATGAGAGGCTGCTTGAAATTATTGCAGCTGTTAATTCTCCTACCGCTTGTTGATTTGATTGGTCAGATGGCCAGGAAGCACATTAATGCTAGCACCGTCTGACTTACATCTGATCTTGATCCTGGCTTTCAAGGTCAGGAAATGTTGTGGGGTAGGATCAGGAAAGCCAAGTTGTTGTCTTGACCGGCCCTTTGGTGACACACCAGGGTGGTCAGCATGCACCGCTGAGCTGGTTTTCCCACCACGCAGGCCATGGAGAGTGAGGTCAACGTGTGCTACAAGGAGCTGTATGGGGCCCAGACCAGCTACCAGCTCTTGACCAACCAGCTGCAGCGGCTCTGCGTGCTTCTGGACGTCTACCTGGAGACCGAGAGCCACGACGACAGCGTGGAGGGGCCCAAGGAGTTTCCCCAAGAGAAGATGTGCCTGCGGCTTTTCAGGTGAGGGGCGGCCCGGCGTGGAGGCATTTACCCCCAACAGAGCAGCCAGCCACACCGACAGCCACATTTCCAGTTGTCCTTGTCTGTTCAGTCAGAATTCAATTCTTCTGCTAGATTTCCTGAGAAGAGCTGTTCCCTCCTTCCTGAAATTCTCCACAGTCCACTTCCTCCCAGCCTGGGCAGCAGTTTTTCACCTATAGGTTGCAATCAGAGGCATTGCTTCTGGTCTCCATCCCTGATGGATACATCAAGAAGATGTGGCCACACTTTACTTCCTGTCGTCTTCATGAAAACAACAGGGTTTTGTTTGCTTCTTAGTACTCAGATAGATGTTTTCAAAGTATGTGTGTGCCCACCAACTCCCAAGGAAGGACCCAGCTGTGGCCTTCGTCAGGAATGATACGGCTGCAGGAAGTGAGTGAGCGGTTACTCAGAAGGGAGCCAGCCCACAGGGCCAGTCTCTGCCTTGTCGACCATGTGATGCTGGAGAGCCAGTGAACAGGCTCTCTGACTATCTCCTCACAGCTGATGTGGAAATAGTGTCTTCCAGCTCTAGAGGAATTAATTCCAGAAAATTCCTTTTAAGCTTCTATAGTCTTTCCTAGCATGAGCTAGGCACTCAGCTTTAGCTGTCCTTCTTGGTGCATGGAATGTCACCAGGCTTACTGCGTCCTGACAAGCTTTTGTTTCTTCTTCTGTTAGATCCTTGGTTTTCCTTTTATCCCCAATTTGTGGTCCTGGAGTCTAGCAACAGTGTTTATAATCTGTCTCTAATAAGGGCATCCCCTGTTGTTCTCTCTTAGTCCAAAAGGTGCTTTACCTTCCCCTCACCTTGTCCTGGCTCCTGCAAGCTGTCCCAGCATCCTCCTGTCTCCATCTGGCACCTCCACCTGGCCTGGTTCAGAGCGTTGTCAGAGAATAACCAGCTCTGACCCTATGTGACTGCTGGGAGGCGGAGCTGTGCCTGGACACTGGTCCATTTCTGCACCCACTATCCACTGTTCGTAGTGGGGCTGAGTGAGCCCGCAGCTCCTCCCACCCACCACCTGCTGTAGCACATTTCTAGGTGGGAGCTCTCTCGGGTTGCTAATGATTCCCAGAACGCCCACTCCTTGCAATATTGTGGGGGGCTGGCCAGCTGCAAGCACACCTGGCAGCTCAGCCAGGTGTCTCTGTGGCTGATGAGGTGTGGGTGCAGGGCTGTAGGCCTACAGAACCCCTGACCCATGGACCGAGGCCAGAGGGCTAGAGTGCAGCACAGCTGGACCAACTTCACCTGGCACCGCCAAGCTCTGGTCTCCCCATCCACAGCGGGCCTGAACTTGCCCCATTGGTTCTGTGCCCTTCCTGTGCTATGATATGATGTATGGTATGGTATGCTATGGTACAGTATGATATGAGCAAGGGATTTGGGACTAGGAGGATCTGCATTCAAACTCCAGCTCCTCTGTGTCCCACCTGGGCCGGTAAGGCTATGAGCACCTCTGGCCTGTTTCCTCTGAAACAGGTTTCATCTGAAAAGCATTATCTGCCTCGAGTGTTGTTAGGAGGGGAAGTTAAGTGAAATCAAACGTGTGAAGCATAGCTAGCAGAGGAAGCCCTCAACCGCAGGTGCTGTTCTTCCCCTCTCGTGTTTACCATCCCTTGCTCACGTGCGTGCACACACACATACACACGCTGCCTTGGCCCATGGCACACACAGGCTGTTGCCTCAGCTTGTCATGTACTTTCGCCATGATAGGCCGACAAGAAATATGCTGGAAAGAGGATTCTGTGCTTGGGCCCAGAATACACAGCCCATCTTCACAGGAGCAAAGGACTTTGGAGACAGGTCTCAAGCTGCCTCTTTGACCATGACCTTTGTCCTACGCTGTGGCCCTTTTGGCATCAGACGTATTTTTGGATTTGAGCTGTGTCACTTGCTGGCTGCATCATACTGAACAGACAAGGCTGTGACTTCACCTGTAAGAGCTGTGGAAATAGCACAGCTCCTGGTATGCACTCAGGCACCATCAGTGCCGTTCCCAGAATGCCTGCTTGAGAAGCTCCTTGTACTAGGTATTGAGGGCAGAATGTGCTAGAATGTTCTTTGTCACCAAAAAATTAAAACTATTTATTGTTAAATGCTTAGATGTTAATGAGGAAGACAAAAGACGAAGCTGCCCCAGCGCTGGCAGTGCCCAGTCTTACTGAGGGCCCATTCAGATGGGTGTTAATGCTTTTATAAACCCAAGAGGACATGTTTTGAGATAGGATATCACACCTCACATGTTCTGCAACCTATTCTTTGTTGTTGTTGTTGTGTGCCATTGAATGGATCTGACTGGCACAGGAGGAGAGTGCCCCTCCTCCAGCAGAGCATCTGGTGGATTCAAACAGCGCACCTTCGGGATTGCAGTGCAGCTTCAGCCTGTTCTTTATAGCAGTATTCTATGCCTTGTAACTCTACCACTTTTTTAAAAAAAAACTGTATTCTCTTTCCTTCTGTGGACTGACTGTTATTTTATGGATCAAGAGGGCTTGCTGTTAACTGCCTTTCCTTCTCTTGTTTCTCTAGGGGTCCAAGTAGGATGAAGCCGTTTAAATATAACCACCCTCAGGGCTTCTTCAGCCATCGCTGACCAGTCCTCGGTTAGGCCAGTGTTTCCACAGGGTCCCACCTTGATGCCTGCACTTCCACTCTGCTGTGGCCCCCAGGTGGCTCTTGAGAGCCTTCAAAGACAGGTTTTGTGTTATCAGCCTATTAAATTGTCCCCTGACAAAATGGCCTTTGTCTTGTGGCTCCTTGGCGGGGGTGGTAGCTCTGCCAGGTAGAAGGGCAGGTGGCAGCCAGAGCAGTAGCATATGGCTGGGCTTTCTGTATCTCTCCAGGTGCACCAAGACCCTGACTCCCTGGCACCCTCTTGTCCACATACCATGTTGGTTCCTGCCTTGGGAACCTTGTTACTTGGATGTTTATTGCACTGGTCTTCCTTTTTTTAAAAACAATTATTATTAAATTTTATTAGTTTTAATGAACATTTACAGAGATTTTGGGTTTTCATTCATTCATTGTTGCACTGTTTTCTCCACCCTCCTCCCCAGTT